AAAGTTAATAAGAAATTTAAAGAAAATCATGTGCATGTCAAGAGTAGTTCAAATTACAAATTCTTGTCATTAAAATTTGATGTTTTTTATTCAAATGGTAAGTTTTGGAAGGACTAAGTTTAGATTTAATTTCCTGTGAGATCCGATAAGCTTCATATTTTTTTTAATTAAAAGATCAGAATATTTAAATAATTAATAATGTAATGTAGATTGTCATAAATTAAGTCTAATTTTTAGCTTTAATTAGCATAATAATAAGGACTCTTTAAAAATGTATGTGCATAAAATCAAATACCTTTCATACAAAGTAAGGTATTATTTGTATGTATTTAGATATTAGCATGGCTTGGTTATTTAAAAGTATTAATTATAGTGTAATACTATTCATTAACTATCGTGTTACTTAAAGAAGTGATGTGAGATGCATGTGCATGGGATATCTTATCAGGCACATAAAATTTTTTGGTTTGAAATTTTAATGATTCCAATTTGAATTGTCTGCGCACCAAACTGATATCGCAAAATTTGTAATTTGCTTTAAGGGTACCGAGCTTTCATCATTTAATAAATGATTGATTTCCAACATAACAAAGAGGCTATACAAACAGAACTTTTATTTATATAGTTTCATAGTACTTTCAGATGTATATTAAATATTCCTTTATATATATTTTTTTTTTTAAATTTCAATTTCAGTAAACAGTTATCCTTGTTATTCCTCATAAAATATCATTAAAGCCTTATTCTAAAATTATATGCTAAACAGATTATTACAAATGTATCAATTTTTCGTATGCATAATTTTTTTCCTTGTTAACTCTAATACCTCCTGTTCTAAAAAAATATACCAGAAGGCTTACACTAGTAAGGTATAACGCTAACAAAATAAATAAGCAAGTATACAATAGCGTTGAACTGAAATTAAAAAAGAAGAAAAAACTAAATTAAATTTTAAACTGATAAAGAGAATTCGGTAATCTAAATTGAGAATTAAATTCCAAAATGCAGAATTTGTTTCTTTAGCCCGAAAAAGTTCAGAAAAAATTGGTGGTCAAGCTACAGACAGGTGCTTCAAAGGTGCCTGAAGTATCTTCCTCTTCTTTACGTGATGTGCACCACATTCAAGAAGGATATGCTTAGCATCTTCATCACTGCTACCATAGCTGCACAAAGCACTTGAAGCAAGTCCAGATCCTTTAAAATTGCCATGTCCTGTCAAAAATTTAGTTACTTTAAAATCTGTTGAAATTTGGTTGATCAAGTTTTATTCTATGAAAAAATTGTAGGAAAAAACTTCAATCATGGCACCAGGGATTCTCTCAATCAGTTATTAAAAGCTCTTCAGTGATCAGGGTACACAAGAGCTCAAATCAATGTGAGGTTTCGCGGCTAGCTTTGCTAGAATGATTTTAGAAATAAGAGGGCTTATTTCTAAAATTTCCATAGTATAAACGAATGCAGGCAAAATGAATGTTGATATCAAAATCTTGCAATGTCTTAATAACCTGAATTTCAACAGTGAGTTTCTCCAAAACACTAATTTTCTGTAATAATTGTAGTGCAGAAAGAGAATCGTTACATATTAAAATGTGCTTTGATGTCAAACCACTACAAGATTTATGAATCCATTTCACAGCTAAATTTAAGCTTAGCAGTTTAGCCTGAAAAACATAGTAATTATCAGTAATTCTGTACTGTTTGTAGTTTTTTCCTTGTTCATCTTCATAACCAACAACCTTATTATTTATCTTATTTCCGTTTGTAAAACAAATTAATTTGTAAATTTGAAGAATATCATCCAAATAGCCAAACTGGTAGAGGATTCTTGTTAAAAAGAAGTATGTGGCAAAGAAAAAAGGTGGAAGATTGCCATCAAGAAAATTTGATGTGGATTGCCTGCAAATGCTTTAATGCAGTACTGCTCAGAATTTCAGTATCAATGGGTGGAATACCAGCGACAGTAAAAAGTGCCTCATAGCTAGTAGTTCTGTAGCCTGGAACAATTCTTAAAAGAAACGTTTGAATTTTAGAAGCCTGCAGTTTACATTTGTTGTGAAGAACAGCTGCAAACCATTGATGCATATTAAATAAATTTGTTAACGGCACTTAACTAATAGTATTGTATATTGCCTTTAAATCAATTTAAGAACTTCTGTTCTGATTCGAGTTGTTTTTAGAAATCTTAAATAATCGTAATAATACCTTTTTGCATTTTCGAGAGATGTGGGAAATATGATACTTGTGCTGAAATTTGTTATCCAAGATAACTGCTAAATACTTTGAGTAACTTCTATAGGACCATTCCCAAGTGATAAACTGAAGACGTTCTTAGCAGTGGATTTGTTATTCATGGTAAAAGTATCTCTTAAGTTTCAAGCACATTTTTTTAAACTGCTTGAAATATCTTCAATATTTTGATAAGTTTCTGTGGAAATTTTACAAATAAATTTGCTTCAGTCCATGACCTACATCTGACTATATAAAATTAAAAATATTAGAGTGTTTGGAATTTTTTTTTTTTTTTTTTTTTGGTCTCTTTTTAGAATATTTGACATGTTGGTATTATAATATTAAATTGTTTGATAATTTTTAATTTGATACAGTCTGTTTCTAGATGTCTGTCCTAATTTAAGACAATCAGAGACTTTTATGTTATTCTATAATTGCTAATTTCTTTTTGTTTCATGATTTATAATAATTTTTCTCATTTCAAAATAAGTTAATTGTAAGATAAATAATATAGCTTGTAATACAGTCATTTAAAAATTATGTCTTTCATCTAAGTCGTGTATATTAAATTTTTGAATAATAAAATGTTTAGAATTAATTTTTAATAATAAGACTTTAGTAACAAAATGCCAAATTCAAACTGCGTTAGGAATTAGAGGTCCTAAAATATTTTTGAATGGCTCAAAAATAAAAGGAGCAAGTAAGCTTTAACTACTGCGACTCTTTTAGGATAAAATGTTCTCCCTTTTAAATATTATCTGCATTTTATTGCAGGTCCATTTATTTTCTTTCTGTCCTTCTGTGAAACATCTGTAAATTGTAGAGTTAAGTTTCTAATCAGTTATGTTAATTTACTTTTCTGGCAAGCCTGATTTTCATTTCCCTGCCAGAACTTCCACTGCACACAATATTCAAATTAAGTAGAAAGAAGAAAGTATTTAAAGGAAGGTTTTGAAAGATGAAATCAGAGCCTGTTCTGTATGCTTGAAGGCCATTGTTAACTTTGATTCTCTAGTGATCAGTATTCTGTACCATTCAGTTAGTTATTCATGCCATTAGGCTAGTTTACACTGACTTCAATTAGAGGCATCTTGTGCACTAGTTAAACTGTGAAGCTGTTAGGCTATACTTAAATTACATTAATTTTAATTCATCCATTATCTTTGATTTAAAGCCAGAGCTATTGCCTTCTCTACATATGAGATGAAGCTGTCTGTTAAACTTCATTTGAATTAATAAGTGTCCTTTACACCCTTTCCCTGCCCTGCCAGTTAATGCTAGTATGTATTTATAAGACACGATGGAAACGTGTCTTTTAGAATTCTGGTCTAATTGTATGCTACCTAAGAAAACCAATCTGTATTCTGCGACATGTTTATGGATATTTCTGTTTCTTTTGAGTATGGTGCTGTTTGAAACACAGAATTCAGTACATTATAAACCTTTCCTTTCATTATTCATTTGTTAATGGAACGCTTCTCTCAGTGGTCTGGTAATCATGTGCTGCATTAGAGTTCTAGTGATTGGATGCTTTTTTGTAGTATTTTAGAATGGCCTATGCAGAAGCAATGAGTATCAATTCACTTAGCCTCTATCTCCACCCACCCCCCCGAAAGAGAAGTATCAGAATTACTAACCAAAACTTGTGCTTCATTTTAAACTGGACTGGGCAATTTAGCGGAAGGAAATATTTATTAATTTTAATCAAGTTATTGTTATCTTTTAAACACTATTGAAAGACTATTTCCATGACCTTTTAAATGCAGTTTGAAAATTCTGTTAGTTAAGATTTCTACAGATGTAAAGTAAATAGTACTTATAATAGTTGCAAAAGCATAGGTTTTATCTTGATTATAAATCTGAAGTAAACATTTGTAATCATTGCCACACCAGTTTTTAGTTAATTATTGTAACAGAATGTCAGTTAGTGTTGGTAACCATCAGCTCCTAAAGAAATATGAAATGTGTTTAACCAAGTTGCTGTAGTTATTAGATTTTTATTTATCATTAAGTGAATTGCTCTAGTTATTTGAAGAAGCATTATTGTTTTATGTTTTGGAATATCAATGAATAAATATTTGATGAAAATATTTTTGTTATTTTAGCCCTACTTTTTTACTGCAGGGCATCTGTTTACTATACACCCATTGTACTGTGATTTGTATAGCAGTGTGAAGTAATTTTATAGTTAGTTTTAAGTTTTTTACACAAGCAGGTGTTTTTGCTCTGTGAAAGGGAATAAAATTAAATATAGCAATGCAATTGAACAATTTCTGTTTGGAGCTGCTTAAGCATATAAAGTTCTAATTTTTGAAAGGTACCATAAAATTGTGTTTTAGAATATTTGTGTAGTCATGACTCATCACGGCATTTACAGTGCAGTTTTTCACTTACCATCCTGTCCTTTTAATTTTTAGTCATAAACCTAGTTTTTGACAAATCAATGGTGTTTTCTTGTTTAATAAAAATTATATAGCGAGAGTGTAAAAATTGGTTAACAGTTAAATGGAACATGTGAAATATTTAGAAATTAGTACATAAAAATGCTCATCTTATATAAAATAATGTAAATGTAATATACTTCCTCTGTGCTTAATCTAATTTTTTTTTTTTTTTTTTTTTTTTTTTTTGGCTAAATAAAAAAAAGGTACAAACATAAAAAGGAGTTATTTTGCATTTATTTCCAATTGGGTTAAAAAATGCTTTTTAGTATTTGTTCACAAAATTTAATTGCACAGTAATATTTTTGTTTGTTTATGTTTAATTTTTAGTTAAATATGAAAGGATCAAGTTCCTCGTCATTGCCTTAAAGGACAGTGTTGAAATATATGCATGGGCTCCTAAACCTTACCACAAGTTCATGGCATTTAAATCTTTTTCTGATCTATTGCATAAGCCTCTCTTAGTTGACTTAACAGTTGAAGAAAATATACGCCTTAAAGTTATATTCGGCTCTGCTGAAGGTTTTCATGCTGTGGATCTTGATTCTGGTGCTGTTTATGATGTGTACCTTCCAGCACATGTAAGACAATTTTTAGAGACTATTTTTCTATCCATTATATCAAATTAAAAAGAAATGTATGTATCTTTTTAGAATTTCATGTAGTATTATTTATTCACTATAATGTTTTAGATCAGGGTGTCTTAAACTTTTTTCAGTCGCAACCCCCTTTTATCACTGAGATTTTTGTAGGATCCCACAAGTATTCCGCAAAGCCGACACACGCGTGATTGAAACTGTGAATTTTTTCACTTGTACTGTAATATACTATTGCAATTTTAGGTCATTAACTTACATTTTTAAGACATAGAATAGTGTGAAAATTTTAAATAAGTAACAGACGAAATGACGTTATGTGCAAAGCAAAGAAATTTATATTATAAAAAGAATGCGTCGAAATGTTTTCGTTTTTTCCTTTGCCTGTATTGTCTTATCTTTATCGATTTTCATATACATTGTGTAAAAATATTTGGTAATTGTAAAATTATTACAATAAGTTAAAGAAATATCAAAACTGCTAAAATTTTTGGTGACCCCTTGCCGCAGGTCCTGTGACCCCTTGGGGGTTGCGTCCCGTAGTTTAAAAAACCCTGTTTTAGATTGTGCAATCATTTCTTTTAATTAATAAGCAAAGTTGTGTAGTTGGAATGTATGTTTCTCCTCTTCCCTTTAATGATTTTTTGAAATGAAAGGTAATATGATAATGCGATAACCATTTTTAAATATATGGAAGATTTTTTTTTCATTGTTTGAAATGTGTTTGGAAAACCCAACTCCTTAACAAAAGCCTCATCTGAACATGCCTTTTTATGTGATGCAAAAATGTAACTTACTTTAAAGGATACTTCTGTATGATTATTTTCTCTCTTCATTTTTTAGGGTAAAAAGACTGCTTTGTTAAGTCTTTGGAGAAAATTTAAATAACTGAACTTTATGTAAAGCAGATCTGAGTCCGTATTTGCCGTTGAAATCTTTATGAATGGTTTTATAATGACGTTCACCATTCGATTGGTTTGGTACCATTACTGAAGCATTGCATAATAAACAAACTGCTTTTTCACCAATGCTTGTAAATAACAACTCTTCTTCCTATTCGTTTTGAAATGATAGGTTTTCTTTCTCCTCAATATGCATGGCACATCACTCCTGTTGATAGGCACACCACAAATTATACAACATAATTAAAGTTTTACTTTAAAACTCACCGCAAACAGCACAGTTTGGTAGCTGCTACTGTAAACATTTATCAACTTACTTCAACTAAACTGATGACCATTGATTGTGCGACTGGATGTATGATTCATCATTTGTGTAGACATGCAGTGGTGCCCACAGCGAACAGCATTTGTGTTAAAGCAGGCTCTATAATGCTAATTGGCCACCTATATATAATTTTGGAAATGGAATAGAGTGAAAGTAATAGCACGAGTAGGTGAACACAAAAATGCAGCATCCTGTACGTGGTACATAATTGTACCTTTTTATGGTTTTTTTTTTTTTTAAATTAGGATTAAAGTTTTTGTCTTATAGTAATGTTACTGTGAAAGAGCGAAATCTAGAGAATGTTGACGTTCCCCACTGAATGACAATTTTCACATAGTTGCTTGGTATATATCCAAAATATTTGCTAAATATCCTTATTTCTCACTTATATAGGTAAATTTCAACATTTGCCATAACTCATGGTGAATGTTGGAAAAAAATATTTTTATCTTTTTAAGTAATACTTTGTTATTAAAACATATGATTTAGGTCAAAATAGGCGAATTATGGTTATGTTGTCTTAGTTATTGCAACAACAACTGGTGATGGTCCGAATGTATGAGAATATAACCAAATATTTGGTCTTTCAATGATGTATTTGGTTTGTGTCGACATTCTCCTATTTCGGTCTTTCATGTTAACAGTAATATTGTGATTGTGGCTAATGGGTTCCTAAGGATGGGATTATGAGCTAGCAGGCTCCTGCGAGCCACTAGTTAGACATTACTGTTCTAATAGATCGGTTGACTATGCTTTAAGTTCAAGTTGTTATCAGAAATTGTGTACTTGCAAACCTAAGCGGGTGTAGCAGCTACTTTATAAACTGAAAATGTATGTTTCTTATTGCTTATATTCGTTATTGTGGGGGATTAGAAAACATTTGCACTTTTAATTGCTATTTGCATTAGTTGCCTGTTAGGGTCAGTTTCTTTTTAATCAGATTTCTGACCAGACATAAGTTTTTCATCTTTTGAAATATATGTTCTATTTGGTAACTTTTTCTGAATGAATCTAGTTTTAGTATCTAGCTTCAAAAAATACAAAAGCTTTGGGAAAGTAGCTTAATTTCTGTCACATCACCAGTTATGTTGACATTATATTCCTGCATGAGCTGTAATTTATTTAATCCTGCCTTGGCTTAATATACAGTGCTGGCCATTCAAAATGCAACAGCATATGGAGATGTCCAGTAGGCTTGGAATTTGTATCATGTGTAAACCTCCGAAGGCGATTCAAATGATTAGATTTGCGGTTCATACGTAAATCTTGTGCACCAGTTATACTACTTAGAAGTATTAAAAAGGATGAACAGTAAGCTGCTTTAAATATTGGAATTGTGTTTTTTCATTGTGGGAAGCTTCAGTATCCATCATGTTAAAAAATGCCAGTATTCAAAGAAGTTTCTGAGTTTAACAGAGGAAAAATTTGTGGCTTAGCTTTCTGAAAAATTGAGGGTGTATTGGATGGAATCAAGCCACAGTGATCCAAATATGGAATCTATGGGTGCAGAAGGGATCAAAAAATTAATGGAAATGATTGTACCAGCCTAGTCTTATATACAAACAAAAGGACAGGGAAGTTGTGCACATTGCACTCATGAATTTCACAGCAACATCCAGAACCCTAACACAAAGTTTAACATCTCATGCACAGTTTGGGTTAGTGCATACCATTTCACATTGTCTATAGAGGAAAGAAATTCCTGCAAGGGAATTCCATGGACTCTGCTCTGCAGGAATGTGTGGCTGCAGTGATGTATTGAACACTGGACATGAACAAATGAATGACATAACATTGTCTTTCCAGAAAAAATCTCAATTCAGCCTACAGCAGTACAATCTTTAGATCCTAATTTGGCATCACCGTGATGACATGTGTCATGATCTTTGCATTATGCTTCACCATACTGATCAGTCACTTGGAGTTATTGTTCAGGATGCTATTGCCAAGTTTTGGAGCATGTTATTCTATACCTATGAAGCCTGTCTGCAGCCAAGTTTCAAGAGGACAGTGCTCAACTACACGTATGCAACATTCAACAATTCATCATTGCCTTTTCCCTTAGGATACACTATAGCTGTTACCCATTCCCTAGATATGTCACTTATCAATCACATCTTATGGACTAATGGCAAAAGAATGCTGCAGCATATAGCACCCATGGCTAAACTAGAGGAAATTTGGCAATTTGTGGAAACAGCATGGACTGATATATATCAAACACACATCTAAAGCCTCTTTGAATGCCAAAACATGTCACAGTAGTTATTACCAGCCATAGCAGCTACACAGAATACTGATATTTTTATGTTCCACAAGCTGAACAGCCCACCAGCGGCCGAGCGGTAAAGACGCTGAACACTGGTAGTTCGGTCCGAGGTTCGAATCCCGCGAACGGGCTGGCTGCATGGGCGTTTTCGTGGTTTTCTCCATGTGTAACGTGTATACGAGCCAGTTTCCCTTAGAAAGTCCTCCACGAAAGGCATCCCTCCCCTTAGGCAGATAGCCCTAGTGTGCTTTGCCATAATTAAATACACCACACCACACCACCACCACCACCACCACCACCACAAGCTGAACAGAACTGTAATTTTAATCTATTTATCCTTGTACTTTATATTATTTTCCCATGCTCTTGCTTTTCATGATGCTATGTTTGGGATGAACAACACTGTATTAACTACTTTTGTTTTATTTGTTTAGTAAGTTTAATGCTTTTTTAAAAATTAATATTAATTAAACATATTAGAGTGCAGCTTGGATGTAATTAAAAATACCAGAGTACATCTCAAAACCTTGACATTTTAAACTGCTCTGTTTTAAGTTTGGGAAAAATCTAATAATTATGCTAAAATGTGGAGAAAATAAAACCGTATTTTAGGATTTGTTTAAAAAATCTAACTTCAGCTCTGAGCAATTATGTAGGAATTATCTAAAATTACTTAAAGTTTTTAATATATTTTGACTGCCATCTGATATTCTGATTTTTCTATTTTGATCTTATATACTACAGAAGATAAAATTTTATTAAAAATAGTATTGAGGAAATTAATATACCACATTTCAAAATCCAGATTAACTAATCACATTCAACAAAGTGACACATGATTCCAACATGTGGTTTCTTAATGAGATTTGTGTTTCAAAAAGAATTTAAATCCATAAAATATCCTTTTTTTTTTTTTTTTTTAAAGTGGAAATCCATATTGATTAATTGTCAATGCTAATAAGTTGAATTTGCAAAACTGTTTAAAATCCTTTTCAAAATATTTATTCAACCTTGCTAAAGATATACCATTGTTCTTTTTGCACAATGTTGTTCCTGGCTTTTGTAAAATTTATCCTGAAATTGTTACACAGATGAATCTCTGTTACTTTTCTCCATTACTTAACCTGCTTTTTCTGTCAGGAAAATCATTCAGACTTTTCAGGTCCCCATGATAATAAATATCCCTTTATAAATATAAAATATACAATAGCATAGCTTTTGTGCATTTTCATTTATTTTTATGAAATAATGAGGCCTTTTCTTTATTTGCTTTATTTTTTAAAATTTTTAATTTTTTTTGGTTTATTACAACTTTTTTTTAATCCTTATAAGCACAAATTTGTGAAATGAATTTAATTAACAAAATGAAGTTAAGGTTCACCATGTTCATTTTCTAAGTAGCTTTAAAGTAATTTGATTATTGATTCGATTAATTTGACTATTAGGGCAAATAATGAAAAATATCTTTGCTAATCTGAAATAAGTTGCT